CAAGGTCAGAAGTTCGAACCTAGCCTAGCCAATATGGTGAAACCCCATCTTTACTAAAAGTACAAAAAAATCAGCAGGGCGTAGTGGCACATGCCTGTAGTCCCAGCTACTCAGGAGGCTGAGGCAGAAGAATCATTTGAATTTGGGAGGCAGAAGTTGCAGTGAGCCGAGATCACACCCCTGCACTCCAGCCTCCTGGTGACAGAGCAAGGCTCTGTCTCCAAAAAAAAAAAAAAAAAGGAAAAAAAAGAAAAGAAAAAAAAGTTGGAGGGGAAGGGAGTCGCCCTGAGCCCTGGCGACCTCTGCTCTTCCCATCAATACATACACAAACTAGTCATCCTTCTCCCTCCTGAACAGGCATTTAATAGTCTTATTTCAGTTGGAAGCAATGGTTGGAGAATAAGTTACAGGAACTGACCAAAAAAAAAAAAAAAAAAAAAAAACAACTTAAAGTGCTTCAGGCTGCAAACGTAAACATGAAGGGGCAGAAGGAGGCCACCTGGCTCTGTCCCCAACCCGAGACAGGAGGGTCACTGTCAGGGGCCCTTACCCATCACCACCCTCTAGTATCAGCCCTGTGGGAGGGAGGGAGGGAGGGAGGGAATGTCAGAGGTGGGAAAGAATGAAACAGGAATGAGGAAGAGACTTTGTAAACTTAGAACCAGGGTCATGGGCGGGGGGCAAGGGAGCTCTGGGAACCCCTGCCCTGGCTTGGGGTGGGGCCAGCCCTCCCCACAGGAACTCGGGGAATACTGGTGGCTTAGTCCCAGCCATGCCCGCCCACTTCACAGCTTCTTCCCCCATCCCTCATCAGCAGACACAGTCAGGCAGCACTGCCGGGCCTCTTCACCCCCGTCTGGGAGGCATCCCAGGGGAGGAAAAGCTCGGGAGCAGGGATCCCCTCTGGGGGCGTTGGGTCTCTGGAGTGTAAGAGGGAACAGAGCTGGCATGGTGCTACTTGACGGGTTCCACCACCAGGACCTTGCACTCGCGCTTGGCAATCTTGTCCAGAGACAGCACAGCCTTGTCCGGGGGCAGGTAGAGGGGGCGGCCAACAGGAGAGGCCACGGGGGGCGTGATGGCCCTGCGCTCCATCACACTGCCCGACCTAGGGGAAGGCAGAGGCTGTGGGTGCTGGTCAGACCCAGAACCTTCCCTGCCCCCAGCCTCTACCCAGTCCCATGCCACACCCTCTGGTTCTGTACCTCATGAGGTGGCTTCGGGAAGGCTGTTGGTGGGAGAAGGACTGGGATCGGCCCAGGCTAGCCTGGTGCCTCTCTACCAAGTCTCGGACAGCAGGGCTGCTGGGGCTACTCTTGCGGGAGAGGGGCCGGGCCTCGGGTGGAGGGTGGGACACGCTGGCGGTGAACTGCAGCTTCAGTTTCATATGCTGACTCAGCTGCGGGGAGACGCAGGTCAGCATGCCAGCTCGGCTTCCAGGGCCCAGGCTTCCTTCCAAATGATCTTCCCCATGAGACAGACCAATGTCAAATCTAAATCCCACCTTCCCTCTGCCTGGCTTTTTATTTCATCCCCAAAATCTAAGGGTCCTGCCTCTGCCCACCCCAGCATTCTGCACCACTCAGCCCAGACCCTCCCCAGCCCACCTCGAAGAGCCCCGTCCTCAGAGCCTGGAAGGCCACACTGAAGGTGAGCGCGCTGCCCTTCCGGGAAAAGCCAAGGTTGTTGAGGGGCGTGTGGCAGACGATGGAGTCCAGGGCGGCCTGCATGGCCCGGCGTTCCTCCTCACACAGCTGCTTTCCTGGGGGCAGAAACAGGGACCAGCAAACACTACAGCATTCCTCATTCCCACAGGGCCTTCGCCAGGACAGTCTCATCTGATCCTCAAAGCCACTCTGTAGAGTAAACTGAGCAAACGTTATCTTTTGTGCATATTGTAGATAACAATGGCTAATACTTACTGTGTGAAGGGTCTGTCCTAAGCACATCATGTATATTAATTCAGTATCTGCCTGACAGTCCCATAAGATATGAGTCGCTCTATTTTAGAGGTGAAGACTCTGAGGCCCAGAGAGGTTAAGTAACTTACTCAAGGTCACACAGTTAGTAAAGGAGAGAAATAGAGCTCACAACAGTGAGTAAAGCCCCAGTGTCCATGCCCTGAAAGTCACTCTGCCCCATTGCCTCTCTAAACTCTCTGTTTGGGACACTGCGGAGACCACCCGGGTACAGGGCGGAAGCTGCCTGCCATAAGTCGCCTCCTGTGGTGGGACTGGCACCAAGTGTGGCTCTTTTCACTGTCCTGCCTCCCTGGCTTTTTTCTTTCCCCTCCCCTCCCTGGGGACTAGATCCCCGCCTGGCAGCTGACCTACCAGCCTGTGCATGCTCCGGTGTCCACACGAGCCTCACAGCAAGGAAGTCTTGGAGATTGTTGAGCAGCGTGTAGGTGACAGTGAAACGCTTGTAGGTCTGAACAGGGGACTCACAAGAAGCGGTCATCACGAAACACGGGCGATCTAGGCGGACACTGGGCAGGCTAGGAGTGGTGAGAGAGGGCTGCTGGCTGTGTGTGTCAGACCACAAAGGTGAATGCCATGGTTCCTCCAGGATCCACACTTACCGGTAGTGTGTATAGATGCTCTGAGTGAAGGGCAGCTTTGGGGTGGACCACTGAACCACAGCAATCAGGGGAACTTCCAGGCCCTGTGGGAGGTACAAAGGGGTTTGGCATTAAAGTGCCCCTCCCATCTTGAGTCAGCCACCTGGTCTTTCCCTCCAACTGCCTTATCCCTTTTCCTTGAACACACTAGCCCCTTATGCTCACCTCCTTGGCCCCTGGAGGGGGCTGCTCACCCCCTCTCAGCTGAAACAGGAAGTTGTGTTCCTCCAGGGCATTCAGTGGGCAGGGGAAGCAGCCAGAGGTGCCGGGTAGTCGGCAGAAGGAGCCCATGGAGACTTCCCCAGACTGGTGACTAGCTCAGAAAAGAGGACAGGGCATGGTCTCCCCATGCCAGAGCTTGGCCCCTCACACCATCCCCACCACTTCACAGCCTCACGCCTCCCAGGACCTCACCAGACATTGTCGACCAGCAGCACAGAGCCATCGGGCATGACAGGTAGATAACTGGCATTGAAGTTGGGGAGGATTCGGATATCCCAGATGGAGATTTCCTCCTGGGAGGAACTGTTCAGCACTGTTGGAGAGGACCAGCTCGGTTCAGAATACCTGGACCCTCAGGCCCCACCTTTACCCAGAAAAAACCAGACTTACGCCACCAGCCTGCCCAGAGGAACTGCATCCAATCAGTTCCCTTACTGCTCCCGGAGGCTGGAGCCGGCCGACTTGCTTACCCTTGAGCACGGTCAAGTGTTTTCCAGCCACAGTGAACTGCCGGCATCTCAGAACCGGAGGGGGCAGCAGAGTCAGCAGTGTGCTCACTGAGGGAGGGGGTGGGTCAAGAAGTGATGGTTTGGGGGCTGACCTCACCTACAACCCAGAGTTCTCACCTTCCTCTTCTCAGAGCCCATTAGCCACTTTCCAGTGTGACTCCTCCCCTCTGTCCTCCAATTCCCAGACTCTAGACCTTCGCCTCTGCGCTCTCCTCCCCACCTTGGGCCTTGAAAGCGCTCTGCTCGCCCCGGAACGTCTCCCCAGGAGATCGGGTTTGCAGCAATCGCAGGTAGCCTTGATCTCTGACCTCTGGTGCCTCAACCTCCCGCTTCCACACAGTCACTACAATCTGTCAAGAGGAGAGACAGATGGCTGAGCCCGGGAAAGGTATCTGAATTGGGACAGCTCCACCCCTTGCTCATCTTACCTTGGCTTTAGGTGTCCCTGGGGGCAGTCTATCCAGTGAAACGGTGAGTGGGAAGATGACCTCATCTGTGGACACAATTGGTTCCTCCACAGGCAGCTGGGGTTGGGAAAGGGGTGAAGAGGTCAGGAGCGAGTCAGAGGCAGCCTGCAACCTTTCCCTTAAGACCTGCAGGTGGTCATCTGCCTCCTGCCTCAGGCCCCAGCAAACCACCCCTTCGCCCTGTGCCGGGTCCCCCAAAGCTCCTCACCGTGGTCGCTCCCCCTGAGGTAGCAGGGCCCGGGCCGTGGGTGAGAAGGGGGCTGCAGCCTCGGAACAAACCACCACCCCCAGGATCCCCTCCCCCTGGGGGCTCCAAATCCTGGTCGCCGGCGCCTCCGCCCCCCGGCATCCCGCCTCCGGCGCTGACCGAGGCCAGGGCAGCCAGGGCGGTTGCCAGTTCTGTCCAGGCCCCTCGGGAGCCCAAGCCCGGGCCGCCCCCGGCGCTGGACCCCGCGCCGCCCCGGCAGCGCAACACCAGCAGGAAGCGGACAGTTTCCCCCAAATACAGATGGTTGCGCCTGGGCAGCGCCCGGTACCGGCCCGGGTCCCCTGCCAGCTCCGCGCGCGGCGGCAGCGGCACGGCCGGGAAGTACATGGAGTAGTCGCACTGGGACTCCATGGGGCGGCGAGGACGGCGCGACCGGGAGCCCGGGCCGGAGGCTGATCTCCGGCGGGGCCCGCTAGGGTGGGTCCAGAGGGCCCCGACACCTCGGGCTGCTGCGCGTGGCTGGGCGGCCTAAGAGACCCGCCCGGTACCGGCACCCGGGCAACGAACCCGGAACCGAGACCCGCCGGCGCCGGAACCGGAGCACGGAGCCGAATGACTGGAGATAAACCGGAAGCGGAAGGGAGGGGGCGTGGCCGCCAAGGCCCCAAATTCGGCGGGTGCCTGGACCTTGTAGGAGGGGGCGGGGTCCGGCTGCGCTGAGGCCAAGAGGAGAATACATGCTGGGGTTGCTGCCAAGCTTCTTGGAGAAGAAATGTAAGAAGTACCCCGTCGGTCGGGCGGGGTGGCTCACGCCTATAATCCCAGCACTGTGGGAGGCCGAGGCGGGAGGATCGCTTGAGGTCAGGTGTTTGAGACCAGTCTGGCCAACATAGCAAGACCTCCTCTCTGCAAAAAATGTAAAAATTATCCGGGCGCGGTAGCGCGCACCTGTAATCCCAGCTACTTAGGAGGCCTACACAGGAGGCTCTTTTGAGCCCAGGAGTTTGAAGCTGTAAAGAGCTGTGATTGGGGCACTGGACTGCAGCCTGGGTGACAGAGTGAGATCGTGTCTCAAAAAAACCAAAAAAAAAGGAAAAGACCCCTTCCAACCCCACCTTACCCAGGAAGATTCTCCATCCCTCCCCTTTCCACCCTCCATAAATCAAGTAGAAGTTTCAAATTATTTATTCATTCAGCAAACATTTCAGAGTGAGCAGTCTAGTAACAAATATTTGGTAGAGAAATGGACGTATTATTCCAACTCACCATGCACCAAACTTTCTGTGGCTCACTCCATCTTTTGCCCCTCTAGGGAGCTTTGGTGATGTGGATCTGCCCTGGGGCAGGAAAGGGGAAGCGGAGGCCAGCGTGGTGGCTCAAGCCTGTAATCTCAGCACTTTGGGAGGCAGAGCCATGTGGATCACCTGAGGTGAGGAGTTCGAGATCAGCCTGACCAACATGTTGAAACCCTGTCTCTACTAAAAATATAAAAATTAGCTGTGTGTGGGGCCGGGCGCGGTGGCTCAAGCCTGTAATCCCAGCACTGTGGGAGGCCGAGGTGGGTGGATCACGAGGTCAAGAGATCGAGACCATCCTGGTCAGCATGGTGAAACCCCGTCTCTACTAAAAATACAAAACATTAGCTGGGCATGGTGGTGCGTGCCTGTAATCCCAGCGACTCAGGAGGCTGAGGCAGGAGAATTGCCTGAACCCAGGAGGCGGAGGTTGCGGTGAGCCGAGAGTGCGCCATTGCACTCCAGCCTGGGTAACAAGAGCGAAACTCCGACTCCTCAAAAAAAAAAAAAAAAAAATTAGCTGTGTGTGGTGGCATGTACCTGTAATCCCAGCTACTTGGGAGGCTGAGGCAGGAGAATTGCTTGAACCAGGGAGGCAGAGGTTGCAGTGAGCTGAGATCGTGCCACTGCACTGAAGTCTGGGGGATACAGCGAGACTCTATCTCAAAAAAATAAAATAAAGAAAGGGGCAAAATGAGTGGAGGAGGGAAGCACTGCTGGGAGCCCATTGAAGCCCCATCCTTTCTGAGAGATGCAGAAGTGGCATCTTGCTGCCCCACCCCCCACTCATCCCATGTGCCCTTCAAACATGGGTGCTTTTCCACCTAAATCTGTAGTCTGATGTCTATGGGGAAAGTGGCCTTGAAGTCTTGAGGGGCAGTGAGACGGTCGGGGGGAACTGCTTGGCATCCAGCTTGTCCTTGTACTGGAGCTCAGGGGTAGCCAGGCGCTCACACTCCTCTTGATCTTGGGGGCTCAATCCACTCCGAAGTATATAGCCCAAAACCTTAGCTGACCCAAACTGGAAGGGGCGGAACCGGCGATCAGTGATGTATTTGGGGTCAGAAGCCTCACCCCCTACCAGACAGTGTTTGGCCAGGGTCTGTCGGCGAGCCCGGAGCTCAGCCACAGCTGTCTGCAGCCGATGCTGGCCGTATTTCTCTATCCGTGCCCAGAGACTGCGGTTGAAGTGGACATAGAGAGCCCAGTCCAGGTTGTTCCAGGCTCGGGCCCGTGCTGTCAGCTGCTGGTCCTCTGCAGTCAGTCCACTGTTGCTGACAGTGCTGAGACCCTGCTCACGTCCAGCCTGGGCATTGTGCATGAAGCCCACCACATCATCCAGACCCCAGCACAGGGCGTCTGCCAGCAGAACCAATGACTCATCAAAGTACTCAGCCACCATTACCAGGTCAAAGACAGAGTCCAGCCAGGCCAGACCCCACTGAATGAAGGATGAAGACCCCATATGGAAAGAGGCAGGGCTTGGTATCTGGCTGCCATGATCAGCAACAGTGGAAACAGGATGGATGAGGGCATTGGGATTGAGGGCTTGGGCTTGAGGGCCAGCACCAGAGGGCAAGACCTGTAGCTCTGGGGCATTGGGGTCTCTGGAGGGATGAAGATTCCTGCTCTTGGCCCTCATCTCTGGGGGAAAGGGGAGGCCAAAGTCAAACCATAGTAAGTTGCGAGCATAGTGGTCCCCACGGGCCCCAGGCCTGTAGAAGGCTCGAGGATTGGCCAGGAAGGCAGCCAAGGATGGTGACTTGCGGAAGGCTGATGAGGTGGATTTATAGTAGGAGAAGGCAGAGCGAGCCAGAGCTGCTGGATCACGGACAATGGAAAAAAAGAAGCTGTCAGAAGGCATGACCTGAAGTACCTGCAGAGGAGAGAAGACGGAGAGAAAACTGGGCTGGGGAGCAGGTATGCATATGTGGGGGGGAACCCCGCAAGTGCCGAGGCAAAGGTCTGAAACCTCAACCTGCTCCCATGTGAATATTGAATTAGAAAAGAATTAGAAATATAAGCACATAGTTATTCCTATATCTAATCATATATAATCATTTAGTTATTCACATGTAATCATAAAGATATATATACTCAGCATAACCCTTTAATTTTACTAATGATTCTCAGGTCATGAAGTGTGGAACTGAAGTGGCATTGGGAAGGAGGTGACCCTGAGGCAAGATGCTCTAAGCCCTCTGTCATGACTGCATAAGGGCTGCTGGAGGGCGCCTTGGCTGTGCCGCAGTGTTAGTGCTGGGAAAGCGCCCACTGTTTAGCCAGCTAGGAAAGCAGACGTCCAAAATGGCCAAGACATCTCCTTCTTGGGGGAGTTGGGAGAAAACTCCGCTTCTCTAAGCTCTTGTGGTAGGCCTGACGGCTGTCAGGAAAACTCACGGACATCCGGGGGACTTAATTGTCTCTATGTGATGCTGGGCTTCAGTGGTCACATCCCATGTCTACTTTCATGTTCTGCTTCTGTACCTGGTTCCTCTTTTTCTTAGAAGATAAGAATTAGTAATAGTAACATAAATCTTAATGCCCTTGATATTTTTGACAAGTATGCAAAAAGTGCTGATGCATTAAGTTTTCTCCTCGCCTTGGTTACTTGAAAGTCCCAGGCCCCTATCTCCAAGACATGTGATTTACTTGATCCTATCACTGACCACCAATGCCTCGCCCTACCCACCCTGCTCCCTGCTTTGTACTCAATAAAATCAGGGCGTCCAGGCACTTGGGGCCACTGCCAGACTGCACTTTGTTTGGCAGTGGACCCTTGGGCCCAAATTCTGTTTTCTCTTTCTTGGTGTCTTGTGTCTTTTATTTCCACAGTTTCTCATCTCCACACCCGTAGAGAGGGGCTCACAGGACCCTGCAGGGCTGGACCCTACATGCATAAGTATGCGCAAGTCACGTGTCCCCCTATCCAGGCTCCTCAAACTTCCTTCTCCCAGCTCTGCTAGGAATCCCCAGCTTCCATCACTTGCTGTGTGGCAAGTTACTTAACATCTCTGAGACTCAACCTGCTTATCTGCAAAATGGGGATAATCATACTTTCCCAAGTGATTATGAAAGATACATGAGATAAAACATACGAAGAAACCTGGAGCACAGAGCCAGGCATATGGTGTGTGCCTGTAGTCCCAGCTACTCAGGAGGCTGAGGCAGGAGGATGGCTTGAGCATTGCTATGTTGCTGAGGCCACCCCGGGCAACATATTGAGACCCTGTCTCTACAAAAATAAAACTAAAAACATTAGCAGGGCAATCAATGATAGACTGGATAAAGAAAATGTGGAACATATACACCGTGGAATATTATGAAGTTGTAAAAAAGAATGAGATCACGTCCTTTGCAGGTACATGGATGAAGCTGGAAGCTATCATCATTCTCAGCAAACTAACACAGGAAGAGAAAACCAAACACCACATGTTCTCACTCATAAGTAAGTGGGTGTCGAACAATGAGAACACATGGACACAGGGAGGGGAACAACACACACTCGGTCCTGTCAGGGGGTAGGAGGAAAGGGGAAGGAAAGCATTAGGACGAATACCTAATGCATGCAAGGCTTAAAACCTAGATGAGAGTTGATAGGTGCAGCAAACCACCGTGGCACATGTATACCTATGTAACAAACCTGCATGTTCTGCACATGTACCCCAGAACTTAAAAATAAGTTAGGACATCCTGGCACACACCTGTAGTCCCAGCTACCCAAGAGGCTGAGGTGTAGGATCGCTTGAGCCCAAAATTTTTAAGACATGCCTGAACAACGCAGCAGGACCCTGCCTTGAAAGAAAAGGACTGGTGGCAGTGGCTCACGCCTGTAATCCCAGCACTTTGGGAGGCTGAGGGGGGTGGATCATGAGGTCAGGAGTTTAAGACCAGACTGGCCATGATGGTGAAAACTTGTCTCTACTAAAATTACAAAAAATAAGCTGGGTGCAGTGGCAGGCACCTGTAATCCCGGCTACTCGGGAGGCTGAGGCAGGAGAATCGCTTGAACCTGGGTGATAGAGGTTGCATGACTGTACTCCATCATGGGTGACAGAGTGAGACTACTTCTCAAAAAAATAAAAGAAAGGAAGGAAGGAAAGAGGAGTGCGTGCGCACAAGAGAGAGAAGAAGGGAGGAAGGGAGGGAGAAGGAAGGAAAGGAAGGAAGGAAAGGGACGGGAGGAGAAGAGAAAGGGAGAGGAAGGGAGCAGATGAAGGGGGAGGGAGGAGAAGGGCAAGGGAAGAGAGGGGAGGGGAAGAGAGAGGAGGGAAAGGAAAGGGAAAAAGAAAAGAAAAAAGAGAAAGGGAGGGAAGGAAACCTGCAGCATAGGAAACTCCTAGAGAACATTAATTTCCTTGGGCATTTCTGTCTGCCTTGGTCAGTAAACCCTCTAGGAACCAACCTTTGTACTCATTTCTCCAGCAAAAACCTATTGAGTGCCTGCCCTGGGACTGTTGGTCATAGCTCCAGGAAGGGAACTGGCCCTAGCCTCCTCAGGGCATAGGAGGGGCATCACTGGCAGCAAAGAGTGAGAAGGAGCAACTATAATGCCATCTGGGGCATAGGCAGCAGGTGGAATAGGCCAGGCCCAGAATGGTTGGAGACTTCAGGGGTTTGAATGGTAAAACACCTCAGGGGGTCCTGGGCATCCCAGAGGGCAAAATACACCCTGAGCCAAGGCCCTGGGAAGCCACAGCTGCCTGGTAGGACGCTGCTCTGAGGACTGGGACATGTGATTCTATTGCTCTGCAAGACAGAAGATGGAGATCAGGCTGCACCACACCCTAACGTGGCCCTGCAGGCTGATGCAGGTCAGAACCTAGCTCCTGGACTCCTTGAAGGGTTTCTGCCTCCAAAAATGACTTCCATTATTGAATCTGACTTCTCTCTGTCATGGTGTTCTTCAATCGGCTCTGCAAATATGGCACACCTGAACAACAGCCTGTGAACTCTCTCTCTTTTTTTGGGTGGGGGGTGGGTCAGGGGTGGAAATGGGAAAGGAGTATTTTAGCTTCTGATTGTTTATTTTCTTCTTTTTTTTGGAGAGACTGTCTCCTTGCTCTGTCATCTAGGCAGCATATCATAGCTCACTGCAGCCTTAAAAACTCCTGGGCTCAAGGGATTCCCCAACCTGCTATAGTCCTCCTGAGTAGCTGGGACTATAGGCGCACACCAACATGCCCTGTTAATTTTTAATTTTTTTGTAGAGACAGGGACTTGCTATGTTGCCCAGATTGGCCTCGAACTCCTGGGCTCAAGTCATCCTCCCACCTCAGCATCCTAAAGCACTCAGATCACAGGCATGAGCTACCATGCCTGGTCCTGTAGGTCTCTTTGAAAGCAGAGGAGAAACTGAAGAAAATAGTCTTTGGCATCTGATGGACCTGGAATAAAATTCCACTCTACCATTTACTAATTCTGTGACTTTGGGCGGGTTATTGAACGTCTCAGAGCCTTCATTCCTCCATCTAGAAATCTGTGTAACTGGGTAACACTTACCTGGATGAATGTGCAAGTGTCTGGAACACAGTAGGTAGTCAATGAATGGTGGTGTCAGTGAAGGCCATCACCCTAGCCTCTGGAGAAACCTACCTCAAAGGTCATTGTCATCGCCTCACTTCTAACAGTGGCCTTTAGGTTGCCCATTAGAGCATGCCCGTGTCCTCAGCTGCTGTCTCCAGCTCTAGCTTCGGCAAGGGTGACTTTGCAGCCCCTGCTGAAGTTCTACCCCCAGTACAGACATTCTCCCTCTGACATGCACACACACATGCACCCCACTGTGTCCTTGCTGCTGGTTTGCTCCCTCTAAGAATGCCTGATGTTCTCCTTACCACAGCCATGTCCACCTTTTCATTTAAAATCCCCACTCTCGTCTGGGCACGGTGGCTCACACCTATAATCGCAGCACTTTGGGAAGATGAGGGCGGGCGGATTACTAGCGGTCAGAAGTTCAAGACCAACCGGGTCAACATGGTGAAACCCCATCTCTACTAAAAGTACAAAAATTCGCCGGGTGTGGTGGCACAGGCCTGTAGTCCCAGCTACTTGGGAGGCATGAGAATTGCATGAACCCAGGAAGTGGAAGTTGCAGTGAGCTGAGATCGTGCCACTATACTCCAGCCAGGGGGAAAGAGCAAGACTCTGTCTCAAAATAAATAAATAAATAAAATTAAATAAGAAAGTAAAATAAAACCCCCTCTCCAGAAAGCCTCACTCCTTTGGTGAATACTTTTCTCACCATTCCAGATACACACACATGCACATGTTGCCCAGGCTGGTCTCAAACTGCTGGCCCAAGTGATTCTCCATCTTGGCCTCCTAAAGTGCTGGGGTTATAGGAGTAAGCCACTGTGCCTAGTGGGTGCCATTTTTCTTTTTTCTTTCTTTCTTTTTTTTTTTTCCTCCACATTTATTCAGTAGGGTGCCATTTTTCTATCTGTGAAAGTCATTTCAGCTCTCTGAGACTAGAACTTCTCCTATGTGTAATGGAGACACTTCAAATGCCTTCCTGGCAAGGTGATGGGAAGTTTAGTACTCAGCACTAGTAAATATTCAGTCAGGTTTAGTTTATTCCCTGTATGTTTCAATTACACATTGATTTTCTTCCTGCAGGAGCCCTCAGTTTCCTGTGTGTGTCTAAGTATGTGACTATGTATGTTCTTGTTGTCTCCACTATTAGAACAGAGGCTCCTGGGGGTCAGGACTGGGCTTCCACCCAGCTATTCTGCTGTGCTTAGCCCCAAGCTAAACATACAGCTGATCCTTGAAAATGCCAGACATGTGAGGGGGTTGAAGAAGACAAGTCAGAAAGCAGTGGGGGAGCTGGAGCCCTGGTGTGACAGTAGAAGGGAGGCTAAGAAAGGGAAGGGGTGTGTAATCATAATTACTTGTCAGTCTAAGGTGGAGGATCATTTGAGGCCAGCCTGGGCAACATTAGTGAGACCCCCATCTCTACAAAAAAATTTTAAAAATTAGCCAGGTGTGGTGGCACGCACCTATATAGTCCCAGCTACTTGGGAGGCTGAGGTGGGAGGATTGCTTGAGTCCAGGAGTTTGAGGTTGCAGTGAGCTATAATTGCACCACTGCATTCCAGCCTGGATGACAGAGTGAGAGACCCTTTCTCTCTCTCTCTCTCTCTCTCTCTCTCTCTCACACACACACGCACGCACACACACACACACACGCACACACACACACACGCACACATGCACAAAGGCTGGTCAAGGTGGCTCACTCCCATAATCCCAACCCTCTGGGAGGCCAAGGTAAACGGATCACTTGAGCCCAGGAATATTTATTTATTTATTTAAGCCCAGGAGTTTGAGACCAGCCTGGGCAACAAAGCAAGACCCCATGTCTACAAAAAATTAAAAAGTAGCCATGTGTGGTGGTACGTGCCTTAACCCTAGCTACTCAGGAGGCTGAGGTGAGAGGATCACTTGAGCCTGGGAAGTCAAGGCTGCAGTGAGCTATGATTGTGCCACTGCACTTCAGTCTAGGTGACAGAGCAAGATCCTGTCTTCCAAAAAAAAAAAAAAAATGAAGGGTAAGGTGCACCTGGAGGGAGAGTTGGGGGCAGAGTTGGCAGGGCACTGACGCCAGGAAAATACAGTGGTGAAAGAGAGAGACTGAAGTAAGCGCCAGGGTGAAAGGACTCTGGCTCCCAGAAACTATGGGGGAAGGGACACCTGTAGAGAGGGTGGCAGGAAGCCCCACCTTTGTGGCCCCCATATCCAACGTTAGAGTAAAATGGTGCCTGGGTACCCCCCAGGTCTGGGTCTCCTCCCTTGGTAGTGTCAGCCCCAGGCCTGATCACATCTCTTTCTGGTCCCTCCCACCCCTGTGACACTCCTTACCTCTTTTAGGTTGAACCTCATGTGGTGACAGAGGATGTCGAAGGGGAGCTGGGTGCCTCCACGCTGGGGGCGGTAGCCTTTTACCCTCGAGGCCTGGAAGAGCCTTGGGTAGCCAAACTGGTAGCGGGCGGGGAGGGCAAAGCGCAGTCCATGCCGGTCCCCGTAGCGGTGAAGCAGGCTCAGCACAGAGCTGCTTCCGGATTTATGCGTCTTCAGGAACACCAGTCGCTGCCGGGGAGGGCAGGACAGAAAGGCTGGTCGTAGGGATGGGGCCAAGGGCTGTAGCCTGGGAAGAGATGGAGGGGGAGTGTCCTGTCCCTCCGCAGCAAATGGGCTTCTTGGGTAGAAGGGGCAGAAGGCATGGAGGCTTCTGAGTCCCCAAGAGTCACCAGCCCCAGGTGGGATGGGGAAGAGCAAGCTTGGGGCATCTAGTGGGAGTTGGGGCAAAGTAGGAACTCACCTCCTGTGGAAGGGCCCTCCCAAGAGCTGGAGCACAAAGCCAATGGTCATGAAGACTCCCAGAGCCACCCCCAGGCTCCGAGGTCCCCAGAGCCGCAGTGTCCTGGCAGGAGACAGAGGGCCCATGTGGCACAGGGAAGGGTGAAGTGAGAAAGGGATGGAGCCAGGGCCAGAAACAGGGGCAGAGACAGCTGGAGATAGCCGTGCAGCCGTGGAAGGCACCGGTTGGAGATCGGGGGGTCATTCCCCAGGCCTGCTTACAGTCTTGGTTGAGTCTGCCCTCTGAGTTAGCAGATTTTTGCCTCTGTCAGCGTCTAGAAGGGAAATGAGGGGGGAAGAAGGGGAGTCTAAGGAGAGAGGCAGAGGAGACCTGCTGCAGCTGAGACCTGGTTCAGGGAAGGGGAGTGGCTGGGGTTGCTGTCTACACCCAGACTTTTGAAGTGGCCCCACAACTACTCCCTGTGCTCTATCATTTTCTTATCTCCAATTTCCCCAGCTCCCCACCTACAGCTGTCCCTGAGCCTCAGGGACTTAGAAGGGAAGGAGAGAGAGAGAAAAAAAAAAAGATTATGAATGAAACAGCCAGCAAGAGAGAGATCGGACCAATCAGCTCATTAAGACACTCACGTCAGATCATGGTCCCGACACTGGCTTCCTCCTGAGCCTCTCTGGCTGTCACAGATGGGGATTAAGAACCTTATCCCAGGGCCAGGAAGGAAAGCCAAACAAAGGGAATGAAGATCAGAGGTGGATGAACTCAGGCAGGAGGATGGGAGGACACAGGTGAATGAACCCAGGCAGGAGGAAGGGAGCTTAGACTTCCAGGAGTGGGTTTGCAATGGGCCATTGTGTTATAAACTCCGGCACGTCTTTTTCCTCTTTCTCAGCACGGGCAGAACCCCACATGCGACAGGGGCTGGGGGAGATGTATGGCTACTTATGAAACCCAGATCCTTGAACTTACTCCACATTCCACTTTCCAACCTTAGTGCATTCAGAGGAGATTGAAAGGGTGGGGCTACAGAGGGGGAGGGAGGCAGACGGAGAAGGAGGGAGGGGGAGAGAGAGAGAGAGAGAGAGAGAGAGAGAGAGAGAGAGGGAGAAAACTCTATGACAGAAAGATACAGAGAAAGGCACAAACACGAATTGCGGAGTTCCTTCTCAAGCCCCAGCTTCCTAATCGACCCGGAGTCCGGCCCCGCCCCTTCAGATTACAACTCACGATCAGGAACCACGGCCCCTCCAACAAGCAAGGACAGCCCCCGGCTCCGACAAGCCAGGGGTAACCCCAGGCAGAGAGAAGCCACACTTTTACTCCCAGAGACCTGCCCCTTCTGGCATCACTCCCCAATTCCCTCCCCAATCACAGCCCCTAAGGTCCAGCTGCGTCTCCCCTATCCAGAGTTCTTCATTTCCTTCCATCTATCTCTCCCTTCCCATGACTGGAGATCCCACCCAGCCTTCTGTCCCCTCCAGCTTTGGTGATTTCCCAGTCAGTTACCCCCACCGGAATCCCATGAACCCCTCATGTCTCCTTCCATAGATTAGAGGGCCCCTCCACTGGTTCAATCTTTGGTTTCATTTCCCACTCACCAGGCCACAAGGGGAACAGCAAGGGAAATCGGGCCGGGCCCTCCTGCCCTCCCCAGCCACCGCCCGACTCTTGGCTCAGCTCAACTTTCCCCACGAACTTTCTCAGAGCCCAGGCTCCTCCCTCCTCCCTTTGTCCCGCCAGCCCCAGCAGCTGCAGCAGCTTTGATCGAAGTTCTAGGTCTCTCCCCCACTGCATCTTCCCCTCTCCGCCCAGCACCCAGACTCCCCTTCGAAGACACCACTTCCACCCCCCTTTCACACTTAGGGAATCAATCCTTCCATTTTCTCTTGGCTTGCTGCAGCACAAAAGATGCATTCAAGCGGTGGAAAGAAAGAAGGAGAAAGTGATATTTGAAAGCAGACATTGTCAAGGACGTGGCAAGGTAGCCAGAGACTGACGCTCAGTGAACAAGGCCTCCCACTCTGAAGGCAGGAGGCAGTGGTGTGGTCAGGTTAATAATGCCTCATGGTCCCCCTGCGCGGTGGCTCATGGCTGTAATCCCAGCACTTTGGGAGCCGGAGGCGGGTGGATCGCGTGCCTGAGGTGGACGGATCGCCTGAGGTCAGGAGTTCGCGACCAGCCTGGCCCACATGGTGAAACCCTATCTCTACTAAAAATACAAAAATTAGCCAGGCATGGTGGCAGGTGCCTGTAATCCCAGCTACTTGAGAGGCTGAGACAGGAGAATCGCTTGAACCCTCAAGGTGGAGGTTGCAGTGAGCAAAGATCATCGTACCACTGCACTCCAGCCTGGGCGACAAGAGACTCCATCTCAAAATAATAATAATGATAATAATGCCTCATGTTCAAAGAGCAGTTTGCAGGTGATAAGATGCTTTTTCACACAGTTCCTATTTGGTCCCCACAATTCTCCCTGTTTTACAAACGAAGATGCTCAGGGGCCCAGAGGGTGGAAAATTTGGAGATGGGGTCATTCCCTAGACCCATTTCCTCCCTGGGGGTCAGATGCCAAGGGAGGTGAAAAGCAGGCAGAAAATAAGCCAATCACAGAGCCTCTGACGCCTCTGCTAGGAGCCAGGGCTTAGAGACTAACGCTGACAGCAGGGAAAGCCACAGTCAGGGTCCCATACATTACCATTTATTTGCAGAATAAACACAAACTCAAAACACTGAAACATGGAGTTTGTGAAGGATGTGGATGGCAGAGGTCATGAGATGAGCACACCCCCTTGCTTGTTTTTTAAAATTTTGGTTAAATAAATTGATACTGAAGAAACTCGACTGAAGAACTCAAGCCCATGAAGCCTCACATCCTACTCACACGCCCTCCATTCCCCTGCCCTGCACCCTGTCAGCATCCGGCTTTGTCCATTTTTCAGACCAGATGCTCCCACCACCCCCACTTCCAACTTCCTTCAATCCCCTTCCCCAGCTGCAACTCTAAACTCCTCACTTTCTGTTGGGGCTGATCACCAGCCCCAGCCTTAGAGGGCTGGAAACTATACCCTCTAAGGAAATCACAATCCTTCCTAAATAAATACCCCACATCCCCCTCCCCTGTTACCAAATGAAAAAATATTGTAGACGCCCACCCACTCCTGATGAAACTCTCCTGGATTTGGGGCCCCAGCCATTCACCTGCAAAGTCCCTTCTCTACCCTCTTTGCAGCCCCCTTCAACTCCTCCCCAGGCCCAGCTGAGAGGGGAGGAGGGGAAAGGGCCATGAACCCTTCTGATGCTAGGGCACCCCTCCCCTGTTATCGAGGTCCAAGCAGGGCCAGGGCTGAGAGGGAGAGAATGAGGATGGTTTGGGGGTGAAAACCAATAGATGGCCCCCCACTCCTGCTCCGGCCCTGGTTGTAGCGGCCCTGGTTGTAGCGGGCACTGCCACCTCCTCCTTTGCCCCCGGAACCATCCCTTTGAGGAGGGTATGGAGGCCGAGGAGGCCGGACTGGGGGAGCCCCAGCCCCAGCCATCCAGTCATCTGCATACTGCTGTCCCCCTCCAGAGCCACTGGCGTCCTCATCTGCAAAGAAGAAGAGGGACAGAGACAGACAGGGTGGGAAGGAGAGGCAGAGGGAGATGGAAGGAGGAAAAGAGATTGGGATTAAAAACAGAAAGAGAGAGGCACCGGAGGGAGATACAGGTGGATTCGGGGTTGGGGAAGGGAGAAAGACCATGAGTGACAGGAAGGCAGGAAAAGAGGGAAAAAGAGAGTCAGTAGGCACAGAAGGGAGAAATCATAATGGGAGACAACGAGACAGACAGAAAAAAGACAGGCAGATGGGGAGAGAGGATAACAGGAAAAGAGAAAAATCAGAAGTACACAGAAGCAGAGAGCAGCCAGGAAGAGGGGTGGAAGAAGAGTGACAAAGAGAGACAGAGACAGACAGAGAGAAGGAAAGAAGAAAACAATGAGTGGCTGTGGCTTGCTTCTCTGTCTGGCAAACTTCACCCTGGGAAGCCAGCCCAACGTCACCCACCACCCTGGCTTCCCAGCCTCCCCCAAGTTGCCCCTCCCCCATTTTCCCACTGCCCTTTTGCCCATTATAAGGGGCTTCCCACTGTTCTCTAAGAATATTTTTGTGTCTCCCCTACTGACCCGAAAGGATAGAGACCCCCTCATCGGCCTATTATCCTCAGTCTTTGAGGTCAACGCTCAATAAATGCTCATTGAATGAATTAGTGAATCAATGAATGAATGAACGCTAAAAGCAGAGGCACGGGTGGGAACTACCAGGAGAGGGGAGGGGCTTAAGGGCAGTGGGCGGGGCTCGGGACCAGGGACGCCCGGGTCTCACCCGCATCCTGCCCGTCCAGGTCGTGTCCCAGTGCGGCCGCCTTCATCCTGGCAATGGCTGCCCGGAGCTGTAACCGACGCCGCCGTGTCGGGACATCGGGGCCCGAGGTGTCTACCTTGAGCTCGGGGTTGTTGACCTGCTCGGCCGAGGTGCCCCCGATCACCGGCGGCAAGTACCTGAGAGCAGAGCAGCCCCAAAGCTCCCGCTCGCCCGCGCGCCACGCCCCTCCCGGCCGCCGCCCTTTGCCGTCTCTCCACGTCCCCGAGACTCACCTGCCCCGCCCGGCTCCGGTCCAGCAGGGCGCCGCTTCCTGCGAGGCGTCCGCTGCCATACGAGAGTCTCCACACACCGTCAGGGACAGCCGGGCCCAGAAGCCCCGCATCCGGGCCAGACGCTCCCGGAGCTCCCACACCTGGGCGGGCGAAAGGGGACGGGGCGAGCTGGAGTGCTACCCCCATCCCTGGCCCCGGCCCCGGCCCTCCCCACCCCCAACTCTTGGTCCCCCCCACGCACCAGCCTGTGCAGGTTGGTGCCTGCTGCCGTCGTGGGCCGCTCCTCTTCGGTAACCATCGACCACAGCCGGCTCGCCTCTTCCCGGGGCGGTGGGGCTCGACGGTTTCGGGCCGGCACCGGGTTGGGGGGGCCGCACTCCTGAAACACCTGCGGCACGGTGAAGAGACCTCACACAGTCACCCTGCGGTAAAACCACACTGCGTCCCCACTCTGACTCCAGAGTCTCTTCCCAGATACCCTACACTGTCTCCCTGACACCTACACCGTCCCTGCCCCGGGCCTCGCC